AAAATGAGTATCGTATCCGGATACAACATTTTAGTATCGATACTTTTTTGAGTATCGATACTTTTGACAACCCTAGTCTCCTTTAAATAAAAAACAGTGAATCACACAAAAAAAAAAAGACGAGTCGCCCCCCCCGAGGCGATCGGAGGCTGGGGATCTGGACTCACGTGCTTGGCGAGCTCGGCCATGTCGGTGTGGCGCTCCCCGCGGGCGCGGTGGGAGGCGGCGTGGTCGGGCGGCGAGGGGGCGGGGCCGTAGCCCACGGAGGCCGGGGAAACGAACTTCCCGTGGGGACCTCTGAGGGGGGAGGACTTCTCCCGCCGGGACGGGGCCCAGTCCCCTCCTGCCGAGGGGCCCAGGAAGGAGGAGGAGGTGGAGGGGGGGGCGTGGATGCCTCCGTCTGAGATCCACTGCCGAACGAGATTAGAAAGCAAAGCAGAGTTTTTTCTTTGTTTTGCTTTTTTCTCATCAGAGAGCTGAGGTCAAAGGTCAAAGAAATGCCTTAACCTCTTCTGGTTAAGGCCGGCTCAGCCCATGTGGACGTCGGCCCCCTTAAAGATTAGTTTAAATGTAATTGTGCCCACTTATTAGTTAGTTTAAATTTGATTGTTTATTATCAGATTGCAACAAGAAAAGTGGATTGAGCTTATGGAAGATTTGATCAAAAACTGATGTAAATGGAGACTGTGTTGTATTTTAATTTAACCCTTTAAAGCCTGATCCAAGAATAAAACAAAAAAAAATACTTTTTTTGTTTGAATTCCTAATTTGAAGAAAAAACAGAAATACATTTTTAATATTAATAATTTATTACTATGCGATAAGTCGAGAATATTTTTGTGTAGTCTTCTGCCCCCTGTTATCAGGTGTATCTGATTGTGTACAATAGGATTTTGAGCAAAGTTTTTACCATTAAATTATGCAAAAGGTGTCAGACGCTAAACATTTCAGAAAGCTTATCAAATATGATACATTTGGCATTACAGGGTTAAGTTTACACACTGATGTACATCAAAGGCCCACCACTTGAGTTATATGTTATGTTTAAGTGTGTTTTGCACTAAGAAAATAAAATAAAGATTAAAAACCAAAGCATGCTGGTGTGATCCAACGCAGCTTTAGTCTTTTAAGCTTTGCTTTTCAGCTCAAAGAGCCTCTTTAACTCATTGACTGCCAGCCATTTTCAGAACAGAGAGTCCCATACTGCCAGAGTTTTTTGAGCATTTTGACTGATTTTTCATGAGCTACAGAATAGTTTGTGCTATGACTATGTAAACACCGAACACACCAAAAGAAAGAGTAGACTCTCTTCTTTCACCAGGAAAAAAAAATTGTTTCTACCTTATTCCATTCTTCCTGGACGTGCGTCTCACCGGCGACATGTTCTCTCATAGCGAACCGTTCCCTTTTTCTTATTTGCCTACAGTCTATGCTCATCTCCCATCAAAAGTGGCACTGCCACCTAGAGGGTCAATTTGTTACTACATACTCTGTCTAGAAGCCTGATATTTACGGACAAGCTTTAGCAGATCGTCCCCTAGCCACTCTCGTTGAAAAACATAAAAGACGTCTATAAACGTCTTTGGCCGCCAATGAGTTAAGACGGAAATGTGAATTTGAAGCCATCGGTAAAGATGTCAGGTGTGGGAATATTATGTCAATTGTGTGGGTTTATTTTATCCCATTTTGTGTTTCTCCCTGAACAAATCTTCAAGAAACTGTTGAAGACCCCCCTCTTCAAAGAGCATCTCCTATCCTAACCCTATAGACGTCTTTGGCAGTCAACGGTTCTATTTGAACTGACGTCTATAGACGTCTTTGGCAGCCAATGAGTTAACTGGCGTTTTTTAAGTTTTACTGGTTTTTTACCTTCTGCGAGCGGCCCGGGGACGCCGTCTCGCTTTTGTCGGGCTCGTCCTCGCTCTCGTCCTCGTTGCTGCTGGGCGGCCCCGGGTCGGGCCCCCGGCCCTCGCCGTCCGCCTCCATGTCCTCGCTCTCCTCCTCCTCCTCCTCCTCGCTGCCGGGGGCGACGGGGCTGTTGCCGGGCGCCGCGGCGTCCTCCGGCGGGTCGGCGCCGTCCGGGGGATCGGGCGCCGCTTTGGTGAAGGTTAAGGCCTCTGATTGGCTGGTCTGAGGAGGGCCGGCGCCCGGCAACAGGAGGGCGGGCGGGTGCTTCAGCACGGGCATCTCTCCCGGTTTGAGCAGCAGCAGCTTCGGGTCGATGGCGTCCGACGAAACGGACGCCATCGGTTCGGCGTTCGGCGCCATTTGGGGAGTCCCTCCCGTTTCCCGCTGAGGGCTGAACGCCGGCGTCTGGTTCAGGGACGCCACGTGCACCGAGACGGCCACCGACGACTGCAGGTCGCCGCCGGTAACGGCCACCAGCGGGGACAGGAGCTGGGCGCCAGCGGCTTCCTGTTGCCCGGCAACGCTCGCCTGCTCGGCGCCGGCGGCGTGCTGCACGGCGAAGGCGTCGGCGGACACCTGCACCAGGCACACCTCGCTGGAGTGGGCCACCTCCACGGCCTGACCGGCGTCCAGCACCAGGTGGGAACCCACCTGGTTCTGGATGGCCGCCGCCATTGGCTGCTGGGAGAAGATGATGGCGTTGGCCTCGTCCTTCACGGCGAACTGGTCGGCGTTCTCCAGCAGCGCGTTGAGCAGGTCCACCTCGTAGCCGGCGGACGGCGGCATCTCCTCGGCCACCTCCTCCACCAGCCCGCAGAACTCGTAGACCTCAAGAGGCTCCGCCCCCAGGCCCTCCGGCGCCCCCTGCTGGTAGAGCTTGGGCTCTGCGGGCTGCAGCTGGCACACGCTGCCGTCCTCCTGCTGGAGCAGGAAGCTCTGGTTCAGGTGCATGCCCGACCAGTCCCCGCTGATGTGCGCCTCCTCCCGGACCACCACGATCTCCTGGGCGTCCGCCGAGTGCACGATGAGCGACGCCTCCTCGCCGGCGCCGGACGTCGCCGCGGCAACAGCAACGTCGGACACCCGGCCGGACGCTTGCAGGGACACCGTTAGGCCCGAGTCCAGCAGGGGCCCCGTGAGGTCCTGTGAGGGTTCGGGGGGGTCCGTTTCTGGTCCGAGGGGGTCCGGTTGCCCGGATACGCCTCCCGGGGCGTCCGGCGGCGTTTGGCGCCGAGGGGAGGCGGCGGGCGCCATAACGGGCGTGAAGGCCTCGGCCGATCCCAGAGAATTAGCTGTGGGCGTTTCTCTGGCATCGGTTGAGGCGTCCATCACCGCTTCAGGCTGTGTTTCGTTAATCTCTGCGAGGGGCGAGGCGGACCGGGAGTCCGGGAGGCCGTCCTCTGGCTCAAGATGGCCGCCGTCCTCTGGCTCAAGATGGCCGCCTTCTCTGGCGTCGGGTTTCTCCGCCTGACCCTCTGGAGCATCCTGAACTTTAAAACTAACGCTTGGCGGGGAAGAGGAAGGTTGTGGGACAGTATCAGTATTTCCACCCGTGTGCTCGTTTCCCACAGGGTCCACGTGTGTCCCGGTCTCTGATCTGTATTCCAGGGTGAGCGGCTGCTGGCCGGTCGCCGTGACGACCACCAGTCCCGGGCTCGCCGGGCCCCCCGGACCCCCCCCCTCCTCCACAGTCTGTAACCCGTAGTGAAGCTCCTGCGCTGTGCTGTTGGCCTGTGAGGAGGTGAGGGGGGGGCAGGGGGCGGGGGGGTCCTCGGGACCGGG